AAATTGTTCAATGTCATCGGAACAACATGACAGTACTTCTATTTATTTATGGTTAAAAAGATGGCTTCGATGTGACATTAAACGACCAAAGTTGGTAATTAGCGACCAATCACTTGCTTTCATGTGCGCTTTAGTTCATGCCTTTATTCAATACCAGTCGTTAGAAGAATATTTAGATGCGTGTTTCTCTATTATTGTTAAGAATCAAAACATTCCAATACCTTGCTGTATGATTAAAAATGATATTAACCATTTTATGCATTTGGTTACACAATGGTCTCCTTTGAAAAACATAAATTTTACACGAACCAAAACACGTACGATGGGGCTTCTTGTTTATTTTAGTTCAATTAGTGATGCAGAAGAAATTTTAGTAACACTATTTAATATAATTTTAAGTAAATACGAAGGTAAATTATTAAACAACTGTGATGACACTCTTATGCAAAAAGTAATGAGTGGTACAAATTGGTATAAATCATGGAACAAATAATGGCGAAAAAAAAATAATGGATTTTTCAACATTGTGGTGCCAGGGAAACGTACCTTACGGAATGCTATAATATCACACTAGTTGTTTTCCATACAAGTAAAATAATCAAATTACCATTACTATAATATAACTGTTATGAAAACGATTACCTAATAATTGTATAGGTCGTTTTCTAAATTTATTTGAGATATTTCTTCATTGAATCTCTCATTTTTCTTCTTAGAGCTATAGTACAGAAACAGCTTTTTCCATAGTTTAAATTTTTTACTACCTTATTAATTTAAATCATCACGTATTTAATCACTGAATATGTTATCCGTTACTAGTAAATTTTAATTGGTCATCGACTTATATCAAATTAACTTTTATTTTATTAGTATCTCAATTTATTAAGTCTTACTAATATTATCATAGGTAATGATGAACGTATATTAATGTAATAATGTATATTTAGCTATTTTATGCATATGATTTAATTGTAGAGCTGTATTAACTTTGCTGAAACTAAAAAAAAAAAATTAACAATTTAACTGTGGTTAACCAGTTAACGCATTTTTAATCACATCAATTAGGTTTAAAAAAAATTAACAACTATCATTAGATTAACATAACTTTTAATATTAAGTTCATTTTTTAAAAAAAAAAGAAAGGGTTTTCATTAAGCGTCAAAATAAGTAATACCTTCTCAACATTTACAAAATAACATAATAAAAACTAATAATAATGAAAACGCATAAAATAAACCTCGTTCATGAATACTTTTCAAAAATTAACTAATTTGTCAAGATTGAACGAAAAATTACTTAAAGGTTAGTAATAATGATATATTTTTTTAATAGTTTATAATTAATATAATGTTTTTTTTTTGTTATATTACATAGATCATATGTAGTAATTTATAATTTCTGTACTTTTTAGTGATTGATAATTTTTTAACCTGCACCGGCAAAAATATCCTGATAGTTTTAAAAAATCTACTTCTGTAGTACTTTTTAAGTATTTAGTAGTTAGTTTGTTAAATTTTTATGAAGTATAAATCAATAATATTAATTATTAAATTCATATTCTACATAATCCACTACATACATATAGTGTAGTAGTTACTTAGTCAATACATTAAAAATTATTATACATCACGTTTATACTCATTATTAACTATTATTAAATCATATTTATTTAACTTTTTAAGTATTTATAAATAAACTTCTGAATCTTCGACTGTGCTTCAAGGACGAATTAACTTAAAATTAATATTGAAGTGAAAAACATTATAGATTCTATATTTTATCATTTTTAATATAAAAAAATTAATAAAAAAAAAAGTTATACTAATTATCGAAACATAATGTTTTACCGTAAATTAAAATAATGACTTCATTCAGTCGCAGAAATTTAATTATTAATATATTACATGTAACGAATTAAATTTCAGTGCGTTGTCTATTTTTATACTTATTTAAATGGAATACTTATTAATTTTTAATTCACACACATATACACTAAATACATAAAATTGTTATTTTTTCGTTAATTTCGGGAAAAGAATAAGAAATTTGATACTAAAAAGAGTTAAAATCGTCTATTATTCATGAAAATGGCCAAAAAAAGGATAATCGCAAGACTGGACTACAAATGACTGGACTCACAAATCGTGTAATCACCAATTTTAGAACCATGCCATTTTTGTACGACTCAATAAATTACATTATGTATTAAACTGTACGTGTATTCTTACCGTTTTTTATGGTATTATAAGGGTAATAGAAATGTAAAATATATATTTTCTAAACACTAAAACTATGTAGGTAGAATATACCCGTGTAATTTTGTACATGGGAATTATAAGGAAGGTTATTGGATTATTAATAATTAGTTATTACTAATAACTATCACCAGATTCAAACTACAATATATAATATAAACAATAAATATTTAAATTAAAAATTATTCGATAATATTTTCAATTAAGGCAAACACGAAACACGCATCAGTTTATTCTCAATTTTGTTAGGTATTATGTGTAGGAAAATGGAAAAAGTTTACCACAATGTAAAAATGTAAAGACACCAAAAAAAAAAAAAAAACTAGTTAAAAAATGTATATGTTACAGTTAAAGTGTAGAATTATGTTATTTTATGAAATAATTAAGTATAAAATTATACATGAAAATCATACTTCAACTAGTTATTTCATAGAATAATTAGTTATTCTATACAATTTTAGTTTGATTTCCGTTAAACTATAGAATACATTTAAATTTAAAATGTATTATAATATTTTATTTATTTTAAGCTAAATTAAATGTAGTTCTATTACTTATTTGTTTGTGCTAGGCTATTGTGGTATTTAGGGTTACACAACACCTTTTTTTTTTCTGCAAACACAACGCTTTGCATCAAATTTTTTGGTACAAGTGAACTTTAAAAAACCCTGACTAGTTCCCAGTAACTTTACAGTTACCGGAGTTCTTAATGTTATACTTTCATTTGAAACAAGTAAAATTACGATATTGTATATATTTTGGACAATTTGCTGGATTAATGAAGTGAGCCCCAGGAAAATATAAAATAACTAAATAAAGTATAAATTATACAAATTACCAACACGATTATTTTATTTCATAAGCTAACTCAGTCAACACTTTAACTGTAACATATAATTTTTTTTATACAGATTATATATACATAAGTGAGTATAATGATTTATATAGTGTAATTTTTTATAAAATTCAGATTTGCATAAATATTAATTGTTTTATTCTACATGCCTTGTCGGGTGTATTGTATGCTCTTTTCATAAGAGCATATTGAGTAAGAGTTTTTAAATATACATATATATTAAATCAAAATCAAAAATCAAAAATAAATTTAAATAATATATCTATACATTTAAAAATATTGAAAAATATATACAATTCTATAACTACCTAAAATATTTATTATTATTTTTTTGCTAGTGATCTAGAGCAGCGATTCTCAACCGGGAGGTCACCAATAATTTTTTTTAGGATCGTATCATTTGAAAAAATATTATTTCAAATCAACAACAGCAAAAGTCATTAAATTAAATAAATATTAAAATTTACATAATATTTCTATTAATTAACGCCAATCGGCTTTTATAATATACTTTTTTTTTGTAAAATATATACACAAATAAATACAATAATAACATTTTGTAAAATTTTTCAATGCTTACATTACAAAATGTTCGTTAGACACATTGATAACATTATAGGGGGTCGCGAACTCAAAAAGGTTGAGAATCGCTGATCTAGAGTGTTTTTTTTTTTTAATATGATTGCATAATTTTTTGTAGTATATTTTATATTTTAAATATTTTAAAATTTCCATTCAGTTTAAATTATTTTTGTTCCATAGAAACTATATTATTATAGTTGTAACACTTTTTTAAAAATTATTAGATCTTGTTTGTTCTCAAGAACATGTAATTAATTATTTAACATATAGTAAAATTTAGAGTACATACAGTTTATTTTAAAATTAAAACGACATAAATAATAAGATTGCCTAAAAAAATGTATGATATGTTCCAAGTTGGAAAAAAATTAATACTCTTTAGTCTATACTGCAGTGTTTCACATGTAATCGAAAGTACTATTAAAAAAATACTTAAGAATTACAGTTCTTAAGGTTATTAAATTCAGTTAATTAGTTCTTAAGGTTATTTTTGTGTATATTGTATATAAGAATTTAATTCTGTTATTCATTTTTAAATTTTACTCTCATATATATATATATACATATAGAGATCACACAAACTAATTTAATAAATAAAAAATAGTTAAATTTAGAAATGTAAAATTTATGTTCAAAGTTATTCTAATTTTATTTTATGATAAACATTATATAATATTTTTATGTAGATTTTTAAATCAATATTAGTAATTTGTACCATTATAGGCGCATCATACGCATAAAAAAAATTACAGAAAAAATAAAATTAAGAAAACTATCAAATAAAAACTCACAAGGGAGTGACCAAAAGAAAAACCAAGGAAGTGGTGGACGGATGAAGTATGAGAATCTAGAAATGTAGTGAGTAAAGAGTAGACATAATTGAAAGATGGTATCAATAGCAACCGAAGATTTTAAAGAGTTCTAAAACCAGAAGAGTAAGTGGATAACAAAACTAATAAAATTAAAACAAATAATTACAAAACGGAGTAAATAAATTATAAATGTTTCGTACAAAAAATATAAATTTTAATTTAAATACAAATGAGACAAAAAGTATTCTATATTATTGTTTTTGAAGAACAAAGTAAATTTTTTTAGTAAATACTTCCAATTAATTTGTATGCTTTTAAAAAAATGTTATTACCAAACTGGGAATATTTCTACAGAAAAAAATTATGTATTTGATTAACATTTTTGGATTTTTAAACTTTCTATTAAATTAAAATATTAAATATAGTTTTATAATTCAAAGCCCAATATTTTTTTAAAGTTATTCCTAGTTGAGTGTTATTCTTTAAATCACTTACCAGCTTGTTCGACGGTCCCTCTGGTTTTCCCGTCACCACTCCAATCATCGTCTGTAACAAATACGTATAAAAAATTAAAGTTATTGTTTTTTGCACTTGTTACATTAGTGAAAATAATTAAATCATGACGATCCCTAGAATGTGTTTTCATTTTGCTTCATCTACAGGGACAATATGTCGGACGTCAAAAACACAAAGGATAAATTTGCACTCACATGCAGGAAATAAAGATAATGCATTTTGTTGATGATTAATTATTATTTCAAACAAGTTTCTTGGTTATAGTTCAAAACAAAAGAACGACGTATATCTAAACAATAACAATTATACCCATGAAATGATAATAATAATACTTAAAAATTTGATCTATTCGTTTTTTTTGTTCATCGATAGTTTTTTTTTTTCGAAATTTCAAAAAATATTACTTATATTATTACATGTTACCAATAAAGTCTATCCAAATGATTATTGGGGATACATAACATAATTTTTTATTAAAATATTATAATAATCACAGAAGAGTAAAAGAGTACAACTTATAATAAATATTATGAGAATACCATATATACAATAAACAAAAACACTAAATATTGATATTTTTTCTTTTTTATGCGGGTAAATCAGTAAAATATAAAAACATAATTAAAGTATTAACTGATTTTCAAAAATACTGAATATATTTATAATGTATGTTACTCACTAACTCACTTTGATTACAACTTTTGAATAATATGAAATTCAAATAAAATTCAATACTAAAAAATATTTTTGTTGAATTCGAAATAGAATAATTACATTAAATATACCGGCTAATCATACTGAAGAATACTATGAAATCAAAATTGTTATCATGAAAAATAATACGAATCCATAATCAACATTTTTTTTTACTAGTGTTACATAATGTTACCAAACATAACCAATAATTCGGAAAAAAAATGTAACAGAACCAGTATTTTGACGCTAAATACTACACTTTTTACATAAAAGTGCTATGCACAAACACATAATGAATAAAGAACTAAATCTAAAAAAAATTTGATAGTCGATGAACAATTTGATAGATACATATAAACTTAACAAGTTCATCTAATAGTTTGATTAATTATCGTAGTAGATTAAATTCTTAAAATCTAAATGCATCGTTATTATGATGTTAATTCTACAAATCAGATTTTAATATTTTTTCATTTTTAATCATAACATTAATAAACCATGAATAATTAAATAAATTATTCATGTTTTATATGAACATAATTTAAATTTACGAGTATATTTAGTTTTTGTCATACTTTCATGATCTACCTATTTCTAAGAGAGAAATACAACTTTTTATTCATCTATCAAAGGTAACAATATTTTATTATTTTCCTCGTGACAAAGATAAAGTATTCAACAGTTAATGGTTATTTGGTTATTTAATTTACTTTTCTATGAGTTATATGTTCTATTAGAGTTATATACATTTTTCCAATGTTTTAAAAAATTAAAAATAGTTCTTCTTTTGAACTTACATATTTATAAATACATAAAAAAATGTCAACATACACATATACAATAAACATAACTAGGAAAAATAATGGATGTATTTAAAAAAAATAATCCCTATTTTACTAAAAAATGTTATTAAAAATTATACGAATTTTCATTTTTTGGGAATCTAATTTATTAATTTTATGTTAAATATTTATATGGTTTCTTTTATAAAAAAATTATTTCAAACAAATGTAGAAAATAATTCTATATTCCATCTGGATATTTAAATATTTAACAACTATCTAAACTTAAAATGTTAGATCAAACGCATAAAAAAAAAATAAAAAACACTGGATAAAAATATTTATAGAAGTCTTGTATTATGTACGACTCCTTCACGGTAACCAAATCAAAATCTCCTACTGTCTTTAGTGTCGAATAAGTTGCCTATAAAATTAAAGTATTGTGTATTAAATATTAATTAATTTTTAGTTTATCCGCTAACAAAGTGTTTTTTTTTTTTTTTAGTTTAATTTGCTTTTGTCAAAAAAAATATTAAAGCGATAAAAAGTAGTTTTATTTCAAATAAATACGAAATTGCAAACAACTTTCAATAGTTATTATAAGAATTTAAATATTTCAATATTCTTTTGAATGCAAGCGTTTCAGTCGCCCGCAGTAAATTACACAAAATAATTGTAATTAAAGCATACGTTAAACTTTACGTTTATAAATTGAAAGACTTAATGCAGGAATATTTAGATAATGAAGTAACAATCAATAGACAAATTATGTTTATTTATAAAGGTTCAATTTTATACAAAAATGTATACCATAATCAACAAATTATTATTAAACAAATAAATATTTATTTAACCATAATTTTGTGCGATTACTATATTAAATTCAGAAAATTTTGTTGGTACAGATCGTATTTTATAAAATGTATTCATGTCAAGAATATTAAAACAGACATATCTAATTTATATGTTTAATAATGAGAATATTGATGCTACCCTAACCTACTGTAATAAAATTGAGATATACATTTGTATTGTATAGATTTATTGAATGATTTGGCCCGTTTAAGTAGTAAAAGAAGTATTATAATACAATGTACACAAATTCAGAATAAATATAAATCGTGTGCATAACTAATAAATCAGATAATTTTATGGTCTGTATGTTAATAAATAATATATATAACAAATATACATATAATATATAAGTTCATATGGATTCGTATAGAAATAAAATACGATTAAATATGAATGCCTATATGTAGATATTATAATTTATTCTGAGCGATGACAATACAATAAACAATTTAGATGAACTTAGGATAGAGTTGTCATTACGTGTTGCAAGGACCTTTAAAATCATTCAGCCATCCGGAAACTAGTCACGTAGTTAGGATGTTATTCAGTACATATAGTTAACAGAAACGTAAATCATATGTATCTTTCCATTGCTGTTGTGTGCCACAACTATGGTGGGCACAACTAATCTTGTGTCACACAAGGCATACGATTATACTCGTATATATATATATACAAATACACTGTTACACATATTTGATAAGACGTACTACATTGTTACAGTTATAACTTTTATTATTACTGTCACTAACAACTAACAATAACGACTTGGTTCAATAAAAGTAAATTTAAATATATATAAATGAGTAACAAACATTTTTTTTCGTGTTATTTTATAATATCATATATGAATTATCAAATTAGTAAGAAATGATAATCCTCAGAATATGAATAAAGATAAAATGTAACACTATTTGCTGTTTATTGTTTTTATTCAGTATGCAGTATTATGCCTCATGTCATAATATTCATCTATGTAAAATAATAACAAACATGTTTACACTTCAAATGGCCCCCATGAGAAACATTTCAAGGGAAAAATTTCGGAGGAAAATCTAATAAGAATGATTTATCGTAGTTCCAAAATGTTGTGTACATTCATGTAATATGTATTAATTCTGAATAACTACGAATATAGATGTTAAGACCATACGTGTAATCAATGGTTTTTTTTTATTTAAAATTCTTGAGTACTTGAAACAGCTTTTTTTTTTATAGATTTTTTTAAAGCTTATCCACTAGCTATGTGATAAAATAACTTGCATTGCATTTATATACACATTTTAGTGTTGTTATAAGCGCAAAGGCTAAATTGAAAACCAAATGTGACTCATTCAAATCGAATATATTGAATCTTAACTTTTACACACAATTTTTATACATTTCATACACGAGTATAATTAATAAAATTAAAAACAAAAATTTTTCATTTATTTTGCTACCTACTATACTAAAATTATTATTCCATAATCATAAGTTAATATGCTTAATAAACCTACGAAAATTAATTTTTAAATTGTTCAATTAACATTACACTACGAATTACGAAGAAATAGAAAACATATTTTTTCTGAATAACTTCTTTAACTATTTCTAAAAAAAGATATTTTTATAAAATAAATATAAATTAAATAATATTAGTTAAAACCCATTAGAGGGTTTTTTATTAAACTGAACTTTATTAGGTTCATATAATTCAAACTAGACGTTTTACTAATTTTATTTAAATTTTACAATATAAAAAGGTTTCATAAAGTTATTATTCGGTTAAAGTTATAGCTTTTACAGGTTTATTTGTTCGTTTAGGAAGATTGGATACTTCAATTTATGAAACTTATACATAATTTAGATATTTTTTATATTTTTTTCCTTTTATTTGGCCTATATTATATAAAAAATGTAGTAAATAAGTAAAAATGTTAGACGATAGCAATATGATTGGAGAAGCATCGATGAATATCCAGATGTATACTTGATACTGAACTTACGATTTGCAATTATTTATTTTAAACATTAAAGCTTAAGATTACCAGTGGTACAAACCGAAACACTATTCTCAACTGAACTGACGTATTTTTAATACACCGTATAACATCAAAACAAAAGTTATTGGATATTTGTCGGAATATAACTACAACAACAGAGTTGTATTGTATTCAAAGCACCAAATTCTATACAAATCTCCCAGTTACTTCTAAATAGGAATCATCCATCTTATATTTATACAGATTGATATAATACCGCGTTAATACATCACAAAATATGTATACCGACATTTATGATAATCAAACGGTAAAAAGTTTCGCCTACACAATGCGATGCTTGAATACTGTGGGTCGCGATAGTATAGAATGAGTCGATTGCAAACATGTATTTGCGTGTAAGTGTTCTCAATCCTCATTTTTTATACGCATTCAAAATTCAAATGCTCTGACAGCTTAATAAGGACTTTGCCAAAGAGATTACACATCTTGACGAATAACGAAATAATACATACAAAAACAGAAGTTATAAAGTGGGAAAATGAACGAAATGGAATTCTAACTTTAATAGAGATATGTTTAAGTTTTTGAATATCCGAAAAAACTTATTTTGTACACTTCAGTTATTCAGGTCAATAATTTTTTAATGTCGACACTTATATTGTATGGAACATCAACAAATTAAAGAAGAAACGCTTTTTAATCTCATTTGAAC